GTTTAGGGTTTAGGGTTTACCGCAAGCGCTGATCAATGTCAAGAGTAAAGTTGCGACTCCTTCACTGCAATACACCGGGCGAGCTCTGCATCCCAAACCCAAGGGGGTCGCAATAACATCGACATCCCCTAAGGGCCTACGTACCCATTATTTAAGGACTTTGGGGCCTTTGTTGGGGATCTAAAACCATTAAGGACTTCTTGGACCCTTAGGGATCGTGTATACATGTAGAGACCAACAAATTCGACTACAATTGTACGTAGACCGTTACTGCAACCTAGGTGCCAGGAGAAGGTGTAGCCCAACGAATGTCAATGGAGCCCAGAAGCCTTAAATCCCCCAAACCCTAGACCGTAGCCTGAAGTTATGATAACAAGGACAGCGTCTTATTTCTATAAGATCAAGGTATAATAGAAACCCTGAGCCCTAAACCCTGCAAGCCCTAAGCCGTAAGCCCTCCTGTCAGGGGCCCCAAGAAGCCTCGGAAGGGTGCATGGAAGCACTTCTCACACCCTTAGCTGCTTCTAATTGCCTAAGCCTCTTTTCAGAATGCACCCGAAACCCTAAACCCAGGACAGTAGGTTCGGGCTTAGGGTTTAGAGCGAAGACTATAGGGTCGAGAGCGCTTTCGTGTTACTGACAGCAGTCAGCATCAGTTCCGAGCTTGATAGCCCTAACCGTCCTTAGAAGCGTCCATTTACCGTGTAACCATATGCACAGGCCTTATAGTTTTCTAAAGGTACTATAGTTGCGGTCGGGACATTCGCGATTTGGGTATATGGATCCTTCGGGTAAGCGACTTTCTGTTCGCGCTTCAGAGCCTTGTGTTTCGCTTGCAGGGTAAAAACTTGTGCATTGCATCAGATTGAACCGACTTAGTAAAGCGCTACGGTCGAAACGGGTGGTGGCCAAGTCTACAAGACTACCGTTTAGGCCTTGAAGTTTGCCATTAGGGTGCTTATGGCTTACGCATCAACGTGGGAGTCAGTATGCCAATACTGACCGGTTGCAGCATCACTATTCTGATGTAGCCGTCAAGGCCAAATTCTGGAAAATCCGTAGTCGTGATCAAACCAGAAGACCGCTCAATCTAAGGGCTTTCCGACACCGGACCGTTCTCCTGACAGTCCGGCATCCAGCGTACATTGATGAAAAGCGTATCTACCACAAGACATACCACCATTTAAATAATGTAACGTAACGCAAAATGATGTAACTATACCTAGTGCATACAGTATTCGACATTAGTAATGTAACACAACCTGACCTTGAAATGCAGTGCAATGTGCTGCACTGTATGCAAAGGGTATGCTCTAGTACTAATTGTTCAGGCGTGCAACTTTCTGGGTTGAACAGTAAGGCCAAAGCAAAGTTTGTTGATCATACAATTCTCGCATTAAAAAGCAAATTTGTATGGTGACTGATATTCGTTAGAAGCACTAGATGCACTCTCGGGAACGATACCTTGAACCGCACTTCTTATGAAAGTATACAACATCACGTTAAAAAGCCGTTACCATTACAATACCAGTACATGACCATTACTATGGACCATTACAAGACTACTACATGACCGTTGCAAGACCCTCACCTGACCATTACAAAACCATTGTGATCGTTATATGACGAGTGCATGACCGGTACATGACCAGTACAAGACCACTACATGACCATTACATGGCGATTACAAACGCACAGCTATTTACCTTACATTACATTACAACACGTCACGCTACGCTACAATACATTAATTGACATTATAGTACATTACCTAGCTCGCATCACATCGCATTACTACCTTGCTACAGTACAACCCAGAACATGACAATACGTGGTAGCATCCTAGATATTAATATATAAGCGAATGGTTGAGGCTGCGGAGGAGGAGTGGGAGCATGATATTCTATTCTTTATGAAGGGGTAGAATGCCCTGAGAAGCGAGCCGTCCTCTTCATCACACTCTCGTTCCAACGCTGAACTGCCCCATAAGCCATACCTAAGGGTCCAAAGGACCCAATAATAAGGTAGTTTGGTTGCGGGTAGTAGTTATCTAGGTCAATATTTGGGAGAGTCTATGATTGTTAAGTACTTGGACCCTTAGGGATAAACTGCAGTAGCTGCTCAGCCTTACATGCGGTGACCTCACGGGCCGAAATCATCAAAGGCTGTCAGAGATGTCCCCGAACCCCAGAATCCCAACACCGAACTCCGAACGTCCTACGAAGCCTAACACCTACCTATAGTCTCCATTGTAGTTCATTTTGGGGGTTATCTTATAGGATCCTGAAAAATGGCTAAACCCAAAAAGGAACTACGATGGAGACTATAGGTAGGGTTCGTGATTCAGGGCTGCGGGGGCCCGTATGTCGCAGTCTTCAACACCAAACAAAGCACGTGTCAAAGCCTGCAAGCTTTTTCTCCCTTCACACCATATCATGGCCAATACACAAATGGAGCGCATCAAAATCTGTTACACAGAGATAGCAGCTAATTAATACTGAAGCACAGATAATATCCACTGGCCCCTTACTGCATTGGCCTTAAACTCGCGGGAGGGATTCAAGGTCGCAGCCGGGGATTGTCAGTCTGAACGCCGCTCTGATGCTCATGGCTACTAGCCGAATTCGCCGGGTCGGCTTCCTTCGAAGAAGGGCTGAGCAGCGTTGGAAAAGCAACGTCTAGGGAAGAGGCGGATCAAGTCAGTGGAAGATCGGTTCAGCGCCCCACCCCTAAAATCTACACCCTACAATAAGCTACCATACGAGCTCGTTCGGTAGGATGCCTCTAAGCTTATGAAGGGAAGACTTGTATTTCGACCCTGTGCAAAAAGCTGGCGATTGAAATTTAAAACCTAGGCCCAGCCCGAAAGCTGCATGTCTGCGAAGTCCGCGGCAGTCATCATCCTGGCCACGACCCATTCTGCTTTACGCAAAGGGTCCCAGTATTAATGAAGATGGTAGCTACTTTGTAGGTATTTGGGCCCCCAAAGTATATACTATACTATAACTTGGACCCTTTGGGTTAGTTTTTCCTTAGAAAGGCCAGCGCCTTTTCTTTGGTGGTGGTTCTGCGGTGGAGTATGCAAAGGCTCTGTAGTGCGCCAACAGCTACGGTAGGATTTCAGGCCTACCGCCTTGGGGCTCTTGCAGGGGCTAGGGCTACCTATAGTCTCCATTGTAGTTCCCTTTTTTGGTTTAACCAATATTACATTAAGGATCCTATAAGGTAACCGCAAAAAGGAACTACACCGGAGGCTATAGGTACGGGCTCTGGGTACTTCATAATCATATCCTCCCTCAAACATCTCCCAAAGACCAACCGACTAATCCACAGTACGACCACCGACGTAGAATTCAACGGCAACCATTTTTTGGATGTGTGGGGAGGGGTATTCTAGATAAAGTTATGTACGGTAGCATGCTCACCAAAGTGTGTAGGCCAGAAATCGAAAGGTTCTCATGATCCCCCTAATCCCACAGCTTCTCTTGAGCTATAAACCCGAACTTCACATCCCAACCCTCAATCCTCAACCCCGAACCTTGACCTCTACTGTAACATATTAGTCTACAGTATATTATGCCATGCCCTAACATACTAATCACTCTCTACTCTACTGTACTCCGAGAGAGTTTAGATTAGACTATACGATACGATCAGACTTTCACTAAGGCTCAAAATGGCCCAAAAGCCTTACATAGGATGGTCTTTGACACCCAAAAGCCTTACAGCCTAGAGCCTTAAGCCCTAAACCCCTAAACCCTAAACCCGAACCCTAAACCCTAAACCCTAAATCCTAAACCCTAAACCCTAAACCCCGGCAATCCCTGAGCACGAGAAGTAAGCCGGGCCTTTTCTAGCGGGCCAGCCGGTCATCCAGGTGGATCTTCTCGATCACCTCTAGAACCCTTCTACATTGTACACCCAGTATAGAACCTTTACCCTAAGAGTCCATGTACCCACATAGTATATACTTTGGCTTTGAAGTAGTCCCTATTTAGGGCCAAGTATATACTGTTTGGGTGGACCCTCAGGGTTGTAAGACCCTCTGTGGACTCCCTTGATCCCTTGTAGAAACTACTATACATCTGCCGTAGATCCATGTATGAAAGCCTTATAGACCACTCAGGGCTTATTTTCGGGTGCCTGTGTTTTGAAGGGTCCATTCACGGGTTTCGGGTGTCGGCGGGGTGGGGGCCGAGTCTTCCTAGATTCCCTGGCGACTTCGGGAGGTTCAGGTGGGGCTGAGGCTTAGGGGCTGGGGTGTAGGGTTTAGTGTTTAGGGTTTAGGGTCTGAGGAGCCCTTGCTCATGTAGGAAGGCCTACCTAAGCCCCTTAAGTAAGGTCGGGCTTGGGCAGTGCAAGGAGGCAGGGCTGCTGCAGGCTCGGAACACCAGAATAGTTCAACCAATGTCACTCTACGGTATCTGCAAGGAACGGACACATCATGATCATCATCCTCCTGTCCTTAAAGCAAAGAGAATGGAGTGCCGGCACAACTTATCGGTACCATACGCTCCAACTTTTCTCTGTTTACCGTAGATCCTGAGCATAATGCCTTTTTAGTGCTGCTACGGAGCATCTCTGACAGTGGCCGTCGCTGGTAACCTTGGATTTCAGTACAGGGCTCGCTTCAGGTTTTGGGAATCGGATTGAGGATTTCGCACCATAGAGACCCCCATTTGTTTTATTCCTAAAGGGTTCAAGTTATAGCATAGTATATACGTTGGGGGCATAGTATAGTATATACTTTCGGGGCATAGTATAGTATATACTTTTGGGGCCCAAATACCTACGAAGTAGCTACCATACTAATACTTGGACCCTTTGGGGCACAGAGCCCCCCGGGCCCGACGATGAAGCCTACCGCCACGCCCATAAACTCCACTGAAGCCAACTGGAAGCCTCGAAGTGACCCCTCTCCGAAACCCTGGGCCCTGGCACAGAATCCTTACACTCCCAAAGGGTCCAAGTAATAATATGGTAGCTACTTTGTAGCTATCTGGGCCCCCAAAGTATATACCATACTGTAACTTGGACCCTTTGGGACTTTATGGTGTAGCTACTTGGGCCCAAAAAGTATATACCATACTATAACTTGGGCCCTTTGGGATTTTATGGTTATAGCAAGGAATCAGGATCCCAAAAGCCTAAATGAGAAGCCCGAAACCAAAGCTTGCATCACCGACCTACGTCTTCAAAACCTCAAGCCCAACACCACAAGTCCTGAACCTTCAATCCTAGAGGGCCCATATATACCTACTATTGTGGAAGTAGACCCCTCAAGGACCATTATGAGGATGGGGGTTTGGGGTTTAGGGTTTAGGGTTTAGGGATGGCCTTTGGGGCCCAGTTTCCATGATGGTGGTACACATGGAACCCCTGGAAATGAGGCCCAGAGGTAGCGAGCCAGGGGGCGCGTAGTGCTGCCGGGCCAACAAAGGAGCAGGTTTGGAGCCTTTCTTCGGTTTGGGTTTCAAGGGTTCGGAGGTCGTCAAGGGTTCAGAGCCCTAAACCCTAAAAACCCTAGACCCTAAACCCTAAAAACCCTAAACCCTAAACCCTAAACCCTAAGTCGTTGAATCATAAAAATATTAAAAAAAATATAAGCTTTGTTTGGAGTTCGGGCTTAGGCCTTGAAGGGGTAGGGACTCGGGCTTCAGACCTTGGGGCTTAAGCGTTTAAGGGTTTAGGGTTTAGGGTTTGGGCTTTAGGGTTTGGGGTTTGGGGTTTAGGATTTAGGGATTAGGGATTAGGTTTAGGGTTTGGGCTTAGGGTTTAGGGTTTAGGGTTTAGGGTTTGGGGTTTAGGGTTTGGGGTTTGGGGTTTGGGATCCGAGATGCCTCCTACTGCGAAGGCATTCTTTTTTTTTGGGGGGGTGGGGGGTGTGACATGTAGTGAAACTACCCGAAGAGTCCAAGTATTAATATGGTAGCTACTTTGTAGGTATGTGGGCCCCAAAAGTATATACCATACTATAACTTGGACCCTTTGGGCTACAAAAAGGGCGGAGGGGTGCGTCGGAGAAATCCTGACCTTACGAGCTTCGGGCCCTAGGGCTTTCAGTAGTAGGACTCTAGTCGCGTGCCGGCCAAAAGGAAATCCAAAACCCAAAACCCCCAACCCCTCGACCTAAAGACCCCAAACCCTAAACCCTGAACCCTCAACCCTCAACCCTAAACCCTAAACCCTAAACCCCAAACCCTAAACCCTGAACCCATTATTATGGAGACTCCTTCGGAGTGCCTCTTAAACTCAAAGAATGGCCTACTTCGCCCACATTTGAGAGTCCCATATAGCACCCCACAAAAGCCTGTCCTGAAGCTCAAAACGTCCTATGAGCCATCCCAAATATTACCCCCTAGAACCAGGACCCACCAATGGCCCTTTAATAGAGCCCTTATGGTCCCTAATAGTAGGCATTTGGGGTATAAAGGAGGGTAGTTGGGGGATCTAGGAACATCCCTCAGACAGCTTTCCCAAAAAATCGCCCTAGAACACCCCTCAGATAGACCGATAGGCCCTACTTTCAGCACTTCAGTCAAAGGTCTGAGATCAGGAAGAAGGCCGTTGTCCAGCTCCTCCATAAAGGGCCCCAGTAGATGAGACGAGCATCGGGGCTTGCAAGGATTTTCGGGGTCGAGGGTCTCTTCGGCTTTTGCTTTGGGTTCCTAGACCCTCCATCTACCCTCTCCTCCTTTCGACCCTAAATACCTACTATCTGGGGCCATGTACCCCTATGTAGGGGCACAAGGAGGGTCCTGCTTGTGAGCTTGGCATTTAGGTGCCAGCTTCAGGATTGAGGTGCGGTTAAGCCGAAATTCCCCGGTGCGGCGTGATGCTTGAGAAGTGGGGGGGGCGGGGGGAAGCTGGGGTTCAATGACTGGGGGGGGGGGGGGG